AGTGATAATAAAGAAATAAATTAAGTCAAACTTTATGCTTTTGTTCTTTTAAAATTGTAGTTTTTAATGTTTATTTCGTTATTATAATAATATATATTTATGTTTTTTTTTAATTTGCACTTCATTAAATTTATACTTTATAAGACAAGTAAATAAAGAAACACGTACCTAACTGGACAAGTCAATCAAAATCCAAAATTTTTAAAGCCGGGTCCAAACTATGTAACAAAACATGTTAAATAACAAGTTATTACAGTACAACAAACTTGTTTTACAACTTTGTTTTGTAACTTGTTATAATATAACATAGCATCCAGACTATATATAACTAAAAACAACACAACAAAATGCGCATAACTTTTAGCTGGATGTCTGGTAGGTTAGGCAGTATATAAAATGGCGTCATACCTAGATTTTTTGTTCAACTTCGCTTGTATGTGCTTTCACTTCTTCGGCTAGTTCAGTCGTGTTTTTTATTTAGGTTTTTAAAACCCATGAATGTAGGATCCCATAATACTCGTTGTTCCCGAAATAGCTCAATTAAATGAGTAGTCAGTTCTTTCGACCATTCCATCGCGTAAATAAGAAATAACCCCACGTGAACAGAGCAAAGAAAAATTTAGCAAAATCGCTCAAGAATCAGAATGAACAGGGCGATATGACTCCCGACAATTTCTGCTCGCGTACTATGCCAAAGAAATGTTTCAATAACATGTTTTTAAGTGTAGATCAGTCACGACGCGGTTTTACAACAATGTTTTATAACTTTCTTTGATGTTTACCGACAACTGTTGGATAACAAAACTTGCTATATTGCTAACCTTGCTATATTGCTAAAACTTGCTAACCAGAAAAATGCTATACAACACTGTGTTTTATAACTTTTTTATTTAAAATTCTGTAACAAGTTACAAAACTTTGTTATTTAACATGTTTTGTTACATAGTCTGGACTCGGCTTAACATTTATGTTGTTTTTAATTTGTATCCTAATACATGTATCCTATATACATAATTATTACATAATACTTAATTGTAGTTAATAAAAGCTACAGTTACTCATGCGGTTTATTTTAAAATATTTTTTATAATTTTCTGAAAAAACTCAAATTTGGACTTGTCTGCTTTTGTCCGCCGACTACACAGGTTTGAACTTGAATTTAGGTTCTTGATAAATTCAAAAATAATGTTTTTTACTCGTTTTTTTTTGTCTAATTTTTCGTTTTTCTGAGTTTTAAATTACTCAGAACTCTAAAAACGATCAAATAAATAGACAAACTATTGCGTGTATAAAAAATTTTTCAGTGCTGAGAAAATTTATTGTTAAAATTTGTCTAAAAAAATTTAAAAAAAGTTTAACAATTTTTTTGTGGGGTATCTCATAAAAGTGATTATGAAAAAAAATCTCACGGGAATATTTTTCCGAACGAACCCAAAATTGTCGCCTTGCCTACGTTTGAATAGCTCACAAAGCTGCTGAATGTTCGCCTTTTTGTACTTGTGATTATTGTTTTGTATAAATCATCGAATATAGTTGACTGTCTTGTCTCTTATGATATTATTTTGTTATATTTTTATCTCTTCCTTCGCTGATAAACGTGATCCCTAAATATGTGCATCCTTTTCCGTTTAATTATCGCAAAACGTTTCAAATTTCATACAAAATTCCAATAATTTACTCTCATAAATCATACAAAATTACTGACGGTGAAACGTGATACCCAAAAGACCAGTGAAATGATGAATATGAGGCAATAATGTCTATTAAATTTTATAATGGGTTATTGTGAATTTATCAGTTTACGTAGCCTCACGATACAACTTGTAATGTGCGTATGATGCCTTAAAAAAACTACGGGTAAGGACCAACGCTGGGAATTATTTTTCCGAATCAGGATCATACCAAATTTATACTATAAACAGCGAGAAAAAGTACGTGTTAATGAACAGCGGTCAGAAGAAATTGAAATTAGACGTGGAGTGAGCGATTGGTTAGGTACCAATAAGAGTTAGGTTGGCGAGGTGCTATGTTTTTTCGACTTTGTTTTATGGAATGGAATCTTGGACCTAGAATGCGATATCAATGAAAAAACTGGAATCATTCGAGCTGTGGATGTATAGAAGAATTCTGAAAATATCGTGGACAGAACACGTCACAAACAAAGCGGCTCTGAGAAGGATGAATTAAGAATTAGAAATTTTAAATACAATTAAAACAAGAAAATTGGCAGGCAGGCGTAGAATGTCGTGGCTGCGCAACCTGCGTGAGTGGTACGGAGGTACATCAAATGAACTTTTCAGAGCAACCGTCTCAAAAGTCCGAATAGCTATGATGATTGTCGATCTCTTCAATTTATTTACTGTTTTGTATATTTTATTCCCCAATGGTTTTGCTTGGGTTATTTTGTAGATTTGTGATCGGATTTTTTGGATTTTCCCTTTAGACCTTTTGAGAGCACTAGGTACTCTGTTAAGATCTCTCGAGCCAAGTAAGTCAACTATCAAATTCGCTACCACAAGCGCCAAGTGATAAACATCTTTAAGGTAAAATAATACAAAAGTCAAAATCAAATGGAAAATGTAATTTTTATTACAATAAATTATGGTTTAATATCATATAAAAACAATATTTATTTTTTTGAATGTTGCTCAGGTGATATTCTTAAGGTTGGCTGCCGCGTGTACCGCCATATGTCACTTGAAACATTAGTACCAGACCAGCGAATCATGCGGCACTTGGAGATAAACCAGAAATGATCGCTGGCTATCATTTATCGTTTCTGGTAATATATGCGAGTAATTTGTCGGCATCCAACATGTTAACAAAGTTTTGGTGTCTACCTACAGCTCACCTTTCGAGTTGTTCGTTTTATTGTCTTCATGGACCAGAGATCTGTACTATTTTAGACACCATGCAACTTAAATTGTCTTTTAAAAATGTTTATGTAAGTTAGTTATTTGTTGTTGTATCTTTTTTTACAGAATACAGCCTAAATAAAAAAAATATTGTAAAATATGATCATTTTAGTATTTTTTAATAAACAGGTACTTAGTTGAGGTCATTTTTTTTCCTGCGAATGATTAGTCTAATTAAATAATATTGATAAATAACTTCCTATTTTTATAAGCGGATATTAGTATTATTCACAAACTACGTAATTGACCTAATAACTTAGATAAATAATCAGCGGGCTATTGTGGTAAACAAAAGATAAGAATTTTATCGACTAGATACGTAATAATGATCGGATTGAGGAAATTGAAATGCATATAATATATACAGTGGAACCTCGATTATCCGTCTCTCTATTAACCGTCACCTCTGTTAACCGTCAGGGTCCATACATAGGTTATATTGACAACATAAGTAAAAATTTAGTTATCAATTCATTTTGTTTGCATAAAAATTTCCACCAAAGACGATTCTCATTGTGTACAATGCACCTGCCCATCCTAAAGCCGGTATGGTGCGAAATGACGATAAAAATATCACGTAGGTGCTGTTTTCTGTCTGCGAATACATCATTGATACAACCAATTGATCATTCGGTCATTAACAGATTCAAAAGAAGGTACAGGAAAAAAATGATTTAAAACCTAGTTATGGAAGAGTACCTGAAAACAAAAATAAGGCTCCTTAAATGTTACGTGTACTCAGTGCTTCTGTATGGAGTAGAAACGTGGACATTGAAGGCGGAAACCCTATCAAAACTTCAGGCATTTGAATTATGGTTATACAGAAGAATCCTGAAGATACCATGGACAGACAAAGTCACCAATGAAGAAGTACTGCGGAGGATGAACATAACCGCGGATTTGGTCAACATTGTGAAGAGCCGTAAGCTGGAGTACTTGGGACATATTATGAGAAATCAAGGCAGATACGAGCTACTCCAATGCATTTTGCAGGGTAAAATTGAAGCGAAAAGAGCCCCAGCACGAAGAAGAATATCCTGGCTTGCTAACCTCAGAGCATGGTATAGAAAGACCTCAACACAGCTATTTCGTATAGCAACCAACAAAATCATCATAACCAGAATAATCGCCAACATTCGGAACGGACAGGCACCCTAAGAAGATGATGGAAGAGTAATATTCTTGGCCAGAATGCTGGAAAGCATACAATTTAAAACACGAGGTCGACAATGCTGTGAATGCTTGGGCTAATGTTTCGGAAGTAACGCTGAAAAGAGCCTGGAACAAATTATGGTCCTGGAATCAACTTACCATGAAAATGCTCCGCTTAAATGAAGTTACGGCTGAATCAACTGTTTTGTTTTCGTTGCCTAAAAATGACATAAACGAATGGTTAATTTGTGATGAGGACGCAAACGGCTATCGATTGCTGACAGACGATGAAATCGTTGAAATGGCAACAAAGGCGGACAAAACTGATTCAAAAGCCGACTTTGATGGTGGCGATGTTGATGATGCTATTACAACTCACAAAGATCTGTGTAAAGAAGCTAGAGGAGCTGCATCGCACCTACAACAATTCATCAAGTGATATTTACGACAAGAAGAAGCAAATAAGGTAGATTTAATGATTTTACGTCGATTAACAAATTCAGCAGTTGCAAAATGTAAAGTCACAATAAAACAAACAAAAATTTCGAATAATTTAAATCAAATTGATTCGACTGTACTAACATAAATCCCTCTTATATTGTCAAAGAAAACATACAAATAAAATTTGAGAGTTATACTATGATTTTTTTTAAAGTTCTGTTAACCGTCTTTTCGATTATCCGTCATACCCTTGGTCCGGTGCCCTGACGGATAATCGAGGTTCCACTGTATATCGAATTAAGGCCCAAAACTGATTTTGTTAAATTTTACTCAGGCCTGTATAGTTTACATTATAAGCCCAATTACTCTAGAAAGAACCAAAAACAAATCTTTATCATTTATATGACATGCGTAAAAAACCAACTATAAATCTAGTTATCTAATTAAATTATGTTTGTTAGTATTTATTACTAACCACATTTTTTGTTTCAGTTGTCTTCTGTGATTATGCCGCGTCAGGCAGATCCCTCCATTTTATGGAGGAATATATTTTAAGGGAGGTTCTTCCAACATATGGAAACACGCCTTATACAACTAGCATATCTTCATTACAGACTACGTTATTTAGGTAAGTTATATTTTGATAACGTAAAGAGACTTTCATAGCCTACTTATATAAAAAGCATATTTCTCTCAAATAATAGTTTGTTAGTTTCCATAGATTCTAAAAAAGAAGAATTTGAAATTCGTCATTAAAATAATGATTATGATGATCTAGAAGGTAAAGTGCGTATGTAGAATCTGTTTTTCTATTATTGCCCTTATATGTTCCGCTATTCGTTTATTAAAATTTCTGCCAGTTTGACCGATGTAAGTTTTTGGATTTAATTTATGGATTGATTTTTAAATTAATTAATTGGATTAAATTATTTGAGTTGCCTGTTATTTTCTGTGAAACATACCAGTAGGTACATCGTCTGTATCTCCACCAATATAAAAACTGTTTGAATACGGGATGTTTTGAAATCTGTCTCTAGATGATCCATAAAAATATCTGATAGCAATGGCCTTAGAGGATTGTTCATTATATCCCTAAATAATTTAGGATCTCCTAAATTATACTCTTCTATTAAACTATACAAACCGGATCACCCAATAAGACCTGTAGTTTCTTTCTATACAGCTTCGTCATATAAACTTTCAAATAAACTGTTAGAAATTATTTTAGAATACACTAAATTTTCACCCACCGTTAAAAATTCAATAGAACTAGTTAATAAAATACAATATTCTCAATTACCTAACAACTCCAGGTTAATTTCACTTGACGTAAAAAATCTTTTTCCTAGTATTCCTCCTACAGAAACTTTTATTCTATTTATAGTAAAAAACCTTTTAGACGATAATATTACAAATCCAATCATTACATCTGAAATTTTACATCTTCTTGAAATTTGCATAAACCAGGATTATTTGAATTTACTAATCAAATATATACAAAAAACAGTGCAGGATTTATAATAGGCAATCCTCTAAGCCCATTGCTATCAGATATTTTTATGGATCATCTAGTGACCAATATTTCAAAACATCCCGAATCAAACAGTTTTTATATTGGTGGAGATACGTAGACGATGTACGATGAGTTCTTCATATTTCATAAACCTACCCATACTGACACGACTATACACAATTCATCATCCCATCCCACACAACATAAACTGACAGCGTGTCATAGTATGTTACATAAATTAACAGAAATTTCGATGTCAAAATACAACTTTGAGACAGAATTAAATATTATTAAGCAAATAGCAGTAAACAATGGATACAACGAACAAACAATTAATAAAATAAATGTGGCGACTGCCCAAAAACTTACATCGGTCAAACTGGTAAAAATTTTAATAAAAGAATAGCCGAACATAAAATTACTTTCAATAATAGAAAAACAGATTCTACATACGCACTTCACCTTCTAGATCATAATCATTCTTTTAATGACGAATGTCAAATTCTTCATATTCAAAATAAAGGCCTTAAGCTAACTTTGTTAGAATCTATGGAAATAACTTATATAAAAAACGCAGATATAATTCTGAATGACCAATTTGAGACAAACAGGTTTCCTCTTCCTCAACCCAACTTCGACTATAAAGTGTAAACGCATACCAAACATAGATGGTAGATAGTAGTGGTAAGATTTTATAATAAATTTTGTGGAAATTTTGAAAACAAAGTTTTCAGTGTTTTATTGTTATATAATAAGGAATAGTTCTAGAAAATGACCTGCAAACCCGGACACACAGTAGAGAAGGCGAATCGAAATGTGGAGGCGTTGATACGGCTGATGCCAAACATTGGAGGCCCAGGAAGCACTAAAAGAAAGGTGCTACATGGAGTTTTCCAGTCGGTGGTAACCTACGCTGCCCCTGTGTGATGTAGTGTACTAAACATTGCGAAATACGCTAAGCTGATGGAGACTTCGCAAAGGCGAATGCTCCTCAGAGTATCTAGCGCATATAGGACAGTTTCAAATGAGGCTCTATATGTCATTGGAGCGCTAATACCGATCGTTTTGTTGTGTAAAGATTGAGCGAGGATGTATGCGAGGAGGGTGGATGTAAATATAGATGAGAATGAGAGAGAAAGAACGATAGTAGGGTGGCAGAGAGAATGGGCGAATCATAGTGGAAAGGCAAGGTGGAGGAAGGAGCTTATTCCCGATTTGAGACCGTAGTGGAAATGTAAGTTCAGGAAACTAGACTACATCCTGACGCGCGCAGTTTCTGACCGAACATATTTCTCTTACTTATCCTTAAGGATAAAATAATTATAAAAACTGTAAAAAAGAAGAAAAACTACATTAAACATTCAATTGAATAATGTGAAATAATCTATTATAGACAGTATATGGCTTATAGTTCTTAAATTCCCCCGTGCAAAACATGCTAAATTATTCTTGATCACTGAAAACTTCTTAGAACTATAACCTGTAAGAAAATTCAGCATTTCGTCGATTGATCTTTAGTAATATATCTGTAATTTGTAAAAAACTCCATAGAAACAAGCTTGTCTCAGCTCGTTTTAATTAAAAGTGATAATTAAAGGACAACAAATAAATTGCACAGCGTTAACATATTTGTCAAAGTCAAAAAACTTTCTATTTGTTGTAATATTATGTAGTATATTATCTTTTATAATTTTTTAAAACTTTCTCATAAACGATGTTTTTCTTAACCATTATCTTTCATTTTTTATCGTTCCAGACAAGAAGCACGAGATATAATCAGGAGTCACGTAAACGCTTCTGAAGAGGATGCGGTGATATTTACCGGACACGGTTGTTCGGATGCTCTAGAAAGATTAATAACGGCACTAGACTTAAGGGAGCCTCCAGTAGTATTTACGGGATTAAACGAACATTATGACAATATACACTTATGGCAAAAAACTGGAGCGAAGGTAAGTTTATTCGTTTTAAATATAAAATTGTTTTTACAAACATCAAATATATCCCTTAATAGTCAATGTTACTTATGGGGGAAACTTGTTGTCGGTTGTTATTCTAAAAAAGCAATTATCTGTGCTAAAAGCGGATTACTGTTGTCTCTTTGGTAACATTTTAAATATTAATTCTTTTGTTTCCGAATTTTGCAGATAATTTACTTTTTCTTCTTCTTCTTCACGTGCTATCTCTTCTAAGAATGTTGGCAACCATCATGGCAATTCGCACTTTCGACACCGCTGCTCTAAAGAGGTCAGCAGAAGTGCAGTTAAACCAAGCTCTCAAATTATTCAACCAGGAGATGCGTCTTTTTCCGCGACTCCTTCTACCCTGTATTCTTCCTTGCATTATTAAATGCTACAAGTTATAACGCTCGCCCCTCATAACATGTCCCAGATATTGCAGTTTTCTGATTTTAACTGTATTTAAAACCTCATTATCTTTTCCCATTCTTCTCAACACCTCGACATTCGTGACTCTATCTACCCAACTTATTCTTAATATCCTTCTGTAGCCCATAACTCGAAGGCTTCCAATCTGTCCAAAACATCTTTCTTTAAAGTCCAAGCCTCCAACCCATAAAATAATACGGAAAACACGTAACATCACAGAAGTCTTATCTTTAAAGAAATTGAAATGTCCCTGCTGAAGAGTACTTTTTTCAGTTTGTTGAAAGAATTTTTTGCCTGTCCTAATTGCCTTAATCTCTTCTGTGTACTCATTATTTTCAGTAATTATTGTACCCAGATATTTATATTTTTCAACTTTTTTTAATTTGTTCTCCATGTATTGTTATGTTTTCTTGGCGCTTGGCGCTTTTGTAATTTGTGTCTTTTTGTATTTAGGGACAGTCCGTTTTCTTCACTGACTTCTACCACATTTCCTTTTTAGGAACCCAAAAGATGCAAAAAAGTGTACTTCGGATACTCCATTTTTTTCAGAGGTGTAGAGATTGGTTTTTTGATGTACATATAATACCATTTTCACTTAAATATCTTTTAAATTCTTTTGAACAAAATTCTCCACTATTGTCACATCGCAGAGTTTTTATATGAAGACCCTTTCGGTTTTCAGCCATACTTTTAAAATTCTTAAAACAATTAAAATTATCTGTTCTCCATAGGACCACATACATCAATCTCCAATAAATTATTGGCTCCGTGACCTTTCTGTGGAAACAGTTAGCAAGACATCTTGCTAGTTTGTGTCTATCACCTTGATAATTTCCTACTTTCTAAAACAGTTCAGTTAAACATCAAGCTGGAAATTTTAAGAACATCCGAAAATAGGTTACGTCGAAACTGGTTTTACAAACGTTTATTTCCATTAAAAACAAATATTTTAATAGCTCATAAAATTTCAGCTTTTTAGTAATTAAAATTAAATCGATGTACTTACCCTGGCAAGTAACAAAATGCAACGCAAAAAGGAAAATAAACATCCATAAAATTAATTAAAAGCGCAGTTGCAACTTGTAAACGAATTTAGTTATCTATCGAATCAAAACTGTATTTTCTGCTGCAGCAATAAAAGTTTGTGTGTTTCTATTTTAAATATTTTTATTTAACTATTATTACACATTTTATATACATAAAAATTTTACTGTCGCAAAACCTTTGATATTAGAGTTTTTGCCAAAAATCTTTTAAATTAAAAATAGTTAGGTACTTGTTTCGTCTGTTCAGACTTGTCTGACAGAAGTGGATGTATATAAGACAAAAACACTAAGTTACACTTGAACTAGACTAAACAATAATAACAATGTATAACAGTAAGGTATAGCTTGCATTTGAAATAATTGAATTTGTCCCTTAGAAGAAGTGAACTCTGTTTATTTAATAATAATAATTGATGGAATTTTCTCTGATTTCCACCAATTGTTGGGGGGAAAGCTTATTAAATTCCTTTCCCCGTGCGGGTACAGTTCCAAATATTTTAGGACCATGGACTGTATAAGAGTTTTTCCTTCGATATATACAAGTAGACTTCACGGTGCTGGTTCTTTATGTGTTTGATTTAATAGGGGTTGTACTTAGAGAAAAAATAAGCGTAATTAATTGAATCTACACATTTAATAACAAGAGAATATTTACACAAGCACTAATACTAACGAAAGAGTTCGCTTTAAAACATTGTCCATTATTATATCGGCGTTTTACGGGCGCGCGAAACTATCGAGAAAAACAAAAATACACGTTTCACTGCATTTTGGCGGCGAAGATAGAGATTAGTCGCTAGGTACCGGCTGGTACTGACCAGCTTGAGACTCTAGTCACATCTGCGAGAGATTTTGAATTGAATCTTTACCTAAAATTGCCGACAAGGCGGCGTCGGTTTTACCACTTTAAACAACCCTTATAAGCTATTTATGGCACAAATATTCTGCAGGCAAAAGTACAGTCTGTAACATAAATTCCAAACCAATATTTGTAAGAACTAAAAATTACACTAAAATTAATATAAAATGTTGTTTTTACAACATACTCGCCCCCGTTGAAGCGCTGGCTTTAACACAAATAAACAGATAATATTACGACAAGAGAGCATGGGGAAGAGAAAATACACTACAATTCTAATCTTATACTAACTTAATTTAAATCGTCATTGGGTAGAGGACACAATTTGGTAATAGAGCGCTTGAAGACTCCATCTTTAGTTTTGACCGAGGCAATTCTTACTCTCCCATCCTTTCCTTCAAAGACCTCAATCACTCTTGCTAGTACCCAATAAAGAGGAGGAGTATTGTCTTCAATCAACAAGACGAGATCGTTGGGTTCTAGGTTCTTATGAGGGAGAAACCATTTAGGGCGATTTTGAAGTCTGTTCAAATAGTCGATAGACCATTTTTTCCAAAACACTTGTTGGAGTTTGGACAAATGCTGCCATAAATTTAGTCTGTTTTCGGGAATGTGGATCACATCTTTTTCAGGGAATGAGGTGAGAGATTGTCCAATCAAGAAGTGTCCAGGAGTAAGATAAGTAAAATCAGAGGGGTCATTTGAAAGGGAGCAAAGAGGCCGGGAATTGAGCACAGCTTCAATTTGAACGAGGACTGTGGTGAATTCTTCGAAAGTAAGCTTAAGATTACCCAGGAGTCTACGCATATGATGCTTTGCGCTTTTAATAGCACTTTCCCAAATACCACCATGATGAGGGGCTCGAGGAACTATAGTTTTCCAGTGAATATGAGACGAGGCCAAAAATTCTTTAATAGAACGGGAGCTTTCCTTTTCCTTTAAAAACCTATAGAGTTCAAACAGCTGGTTACGAGCACCAAGAAAGTTCGTAGCGTTGTCACTGAATATTGTCTGAGGGAGGCCTCTACGACTAATAAAGCGTTTTAGAGCGAGAATAAACATCTCTGTAGAGAGACCAGAGACGACTTCAATATGAACAGCTCGAGTCGACAAGCAAACAAAAGAGCAATATACGATTTTATTAAAGGAGCCTTGCGAAGTTTGGAAGCCTTTATCTGAAAGGGACCGCCAAAATCTAATCCAACATGAGTGAATGCTCGAGAGGAATTTAAACGTTCCTTTGGCAAATCTGCCATAATCTGGGTAGCGGGTTTGGCACGAAACTTAAAACAAACCATACATTGGTGAATGACCTTTTTGACTTCTCGTAGTCCATTTAAAGGCCAATATTTGAGACGAATTTGGGACAGAGTATTTTGAGGCCCTGAGTGACAAAGTCTGACATGTTCTCTGTGAAGAATGAGACGAACTATACGATTTTTTGAGGGAAGGAGAAGGGGGTATCTTTGATCAAAGGTAACGTCTGAGTTTCCAAGGCGACCTCCTACCCGGAGCATTTCATTCTCATCCAAAAAGGGGTTTAGGGGTAACAGACACTTATTAGTTAGAGTTTTAACTTTCTTAAGCTCAGAAATCTCACTCGAAAAGTTGGAATACTGGAGCATTTTAATAATCTTAAGTTCAGCGTTTTGAAGTTCGGTGACTTCAAGGGTATCCGTTAACTTGCGAGAAAGCGGTTTAGCATTATTATTAAATCTAAACATATAGGCTAAAGTTCTTACAAACTTTGAAAAATTAGAGAACCTATCAGAAAGGGAGGTGAAAAAATCTATTGTATCATTTCGAGCATGAAGAATGACTTTCCTTTCTTCAGGCAACTTGGAGGTATAACCCTTTGGGTTGTATTTTAATAAATCCAAACGCAGTTGATTTAAAAATGGAGGACCATGAAACCACAAGGAAGAGTTTAATATCTCAGAGGGTAACATTCCTCGGGAGAGTATGTCGGCAGGATTCTCTTTGGATCGTACGTGCCTCCAGTGAGCATCAGGGGAATTATCTAAAATTTGTGCGACCCTATTTGCTACAAATTGGGTCCAACGAGAAGGATGTGAACGAAGCCAAGCGAGAACAATTTCTGAATCCGATCACATATTTATAGAGTCTAATCGAGATAATTTTTCTTTAACGATGTTAGCAATCCTTGCTGTGAGTTTACTACACAATAGCGCACCCATGAGTTCCAATCTTGGAAGGGTCAAGGGTTTTAGCGGAGCAACGCGACTCTTAGATGCTAGAAGGGAACAGACACCTGTTCTGATTTATAGGTCACACGTAAGTAGATACAAGCTCCATAAGCCTTTAAACTTGCATCCGAGAATGAGTGAACCTCAACACCAGTGATTTCTTGACTCAAAAAGAGACATCTTGGTATACTTAAGTCTTTAAAATGAGAGAGACTGCTAATAAAACTTAGCCATTCATGTAACGTATCTGCGTCAATGGTATCGTTCCAACTGATTTTGGAAATCCAGATTTTTTGCATTATAAGTTTAGCGACAACTGTAACGGGATTAATAAGACCTTGAGGATCAAATATTTGGGCAATTATTGACAGTACTTCTCTTTTAGTGTATGAGTTCTTTAGGGTGAAATCTGGAAGAGAGATTGAAAACGTGTCAAGAACAGGATTCCAGCAT